CCTGCGTCAACCATGTGGTTTGCCGTTGCGTTTGTTACGCGACTAGTTCAAGTGGTTTATAATGAAATTATGGTAGTTATTTTCACGTTCACTGCGTCGACATCGTCAACATCATCATCATCATCACCGGCTGCTGGTGCATACATAGAGAAGGTTTCCCTTAGCTCTCTCATAAGAGAAAAATTAAATTATGAATTACATTATCATTAATCATTATTATATTACTAACAATAATAATATTTATTAATTAATGATTATTATTATTGTATTAGTACTGTATAATTATATTGTAGTATTATTTTATTGTTAGACTAATACATTGCACATCGCCCGGTAAACTTAAGTCAGTTGTACCACAATGCAAGTACAGATAAGACATAAGAAACGAAACTACTGTATGTATCGACCTCTTTCGACAACTCATTCGCAGGTGCACTGTCAAGAACGCCATGCGTTTGTCTCTGTCACTTTGTATGCAAGTGATTGGCTTGGACAAGTAACGGATTTAGGTCGACGTATGGGTCAGTTGAATAGACTCGCCAATAACGCAACTTAAACATCCTTTGAGGTGTTTATTTATGTTTTCACAGAAGACCGACAACTGCATCGGTTTACCTGGCAGTCCTACGGAGAGCTCATCGATTAAGTCGAAATCGCTTGCATGATGATGCAGAAGTATTTTCATCTTTTTATTCTAATTATTATAGTATGTAAATCACACTGTTATGCGTATACATTGTGTATTGCACGCGCGCACAAAATATATACGCGATAAATTAATGTCAACAGTAGACTTGTATTCAGGAAATACAGTATACCCTATCTTTCTGGACCCTGGAGCTTAATCGATCTCGTATCAAGATTTATTTAGACTAGGCATGACCTTTCACAACTTGTTTGGTTTAATAAGCATGTAGGGACATGAAACGCTACTTACGGTGCTATGCATCTTCGTAATTGGATTGGGGCCCAGACTGGCGTCATATAGGACATACCCAAATTGTATGGACGACGAAAGACCATGGGCAAAGGAGGAATCATCCAATCCATACACCAAATATATTTCGCAATCGTTTTGAACACAAACATGTTCTGTGGGTCACTCACTCAAAGGATGGGTTACTAAACCGATTCTTAAACATTATCTGAGCTGTAAAATACCGCGTAGCTCCTTCATCAAAAATCTGCCATCTAAACCCAGATTAAAAATGAAATGAAATTGGTTCGTGTGCGTTGCGAAGCTACATGAATGCCCAACATCAATATAATGTACCCCTGTTTACGAATAATTTAACAGGAGTAAGTTCTTCGAAGACGATATTGGTTATGTTTACAACATATCACTTATTTGTGAATTCTTATGAAAACATATGACATGCCTGTGATATATTATATTTCAAATGCAATTTGCAATTTCATTGAGTTAATAATCAATCTGTATGACGATTGATTACAACTTAGACCTGAAATGCACTAACGTAACTGTCAAATCAATGGTTATGTCGAGCACCATAGGCCTAGATACACCATGGTGGGTTTGTCATGTTATATCAGATCATTTTTAACAACACGTGTCTCGGACATGAAATCCAACGGTGAAGCTATACATCTTTTACGCAGGCGAGACAGTCCCTAACACTCTGGTATGTAAGGCCCTAATATCCCGTTGGTCTTTGCACTGCCCCACCTCTCCACATTGCGCTATAACTCCAACACATAATAATAATCTGTCTAAACACGTGCGTCACGCACACAGTACACCCATGCCCACACACATATATATTATAGGCCTATATATATGTTGATTAAACTGTCATTAATTTATTAATGAGATTTTTTTTGGCATTATTTGTGGTCTGAATACCTACATACATAATGTATAAATAGCAAAGATGAACATTACTCCAAGTATAAATGTACCAACCACAAGAAAGTAGCTTATCACAACTTTAAACCAATCAAATTCAAGAAATGAATTACAAGGTTAAAAGTGTAAGCACAATAGACTAATTAGACCCAAACCAACTATTTCTTCTTTTCAGTTTTTGAATAAAGTTATTTTAATATAGTTATGTATTTCTTTTAATTTTTAGCCATCTTTGAAATATCACGAGCGCCGTCGATGAATACTATGGTGTTACTGAAAGGCCAGGCATCTAAGCTCTACTTATGTATTAATTCAACTGGAGATTTACACGGCATGGTAAGTAACATTACTACTTCCATCATCATCATCATCATCACATATATCATCATCATTATCATTATCATCGTCATCACAATTGCTCTAAACGTTCACAAACGTAAACACACATGAACAAAAACAAAAACATACATCATCAGTATTATTACTACTTAACATGGCTGGCTGTAGTCTACGTTTACACAATATTAATATTTCGTATTCGAAGCCTAATTAAAGCTAATTTTCATTGCAGAGAATGCCATTAAGAGAATGCTACTTCCAAGAAAACATTGGTAATGACGGGTGGACATCGTTTTCATCTTGCAAGTACCCCCAGACGAGCACGCTTTGTAGAAGTAGGCATGCCACCAAAAGGAAAACTTTAGGGTGGATGGTAGCGTTAAACAAAGATGGTACCCCGAAAAATGCTACAACCGCATGGCGTACGAAAAAGAGAAGCACGAGATTTCTCAAAACAGACGTTCCCGTGGATACATCAACATCACGATGAGAGAAGTAAATACAGACGTGTATCAAACATCCTAAACATTCCTGTCCACGAACAAAACTTGCGTGACGTTCCATCAAAATTTATTTTGAGACTCGTGTTTTCTCGTCGTGGTTACGTTTACTGTCGCCAATTCGTGAAAAACGCAATGAGGATACAAGGAGTGACGCGACTAGCTTCGGTGACAACCATAATTAGCGACTGGAGTCTTTCGCAGAAGGTATTTGGAAGCAAACGTTTATGGTACGGTTAGATCGGTGCCTTTTATATGTGTAATTTGGATCGTTCTTTATCAACTTAGAGCTTTTTTTCATCAAAGGCAAGCTCTAGGGGGTGGTACATTCGTGTTAGTGATGTAATAGCATTGTTGGATAATAAGAAAACAGTTCATTGTCTATAGACGTTGTCTCTATGGTGGTGGTCTTGAGTAAAATCATCTGTTATTCGTGCTAGCGCGTGTGTATTTTCCTACTGTTCACTAAAGAAGAAAACTGAATGAAAGACCAAGCGGTAATGTTAGATTAGTCTCAAAATCACAAATGCAATGATGTGCTATCAAAGTAGGCTAATTGCTATCTCATTCATGGATTAGATTTGCTATTGAAAAATAATGTGGAAACTGCAGGGATGTTATTGAGTGGGTAATTTTACGCTTAAAATATGCGAACGATGTACAAGGAGTATCTCATACGTAAACTGAAATGATGAAAAAGTGTATACGTGTTGTGACAAGATTTACCAAAGATTATGGTCTCCAAAGTTATAACCTACCGTAATTTTGGGCGTTTTATTTTATAAAGGTTCGTGCCTTTTGACTTACTGTGTCCTTGCTTAAGCCGGACACTCACTGCGTCCGTCGCACGACGAATCACATTTGCTTCCGGCGCAACGCCGTCTGCTAAGTGGCAATCTGAGCGGATCCTCATTAAAAAGACGATCTGTTGGGTCCGCGTTTTCGCGTGCGTTCTTCGTCGCGTTGCCGTCGCACGCAGTGAGTAACCGGCTTAAACGTCTAGATATATAGACATTATGCTTCTTCGTTAGTTTTGGAATATCGGAACTGCCGGCAACTCTGCTGTAAATTCTTTATTAAAATGTCGGCTGGTGTTTCCAGCAAAACTTACAGATTATATAAGCCTAAAACCGGACACTCACTGCATCGTAGGCGGTCGTACGACCGTCAGCCGACGAATCCAACTCCGCACCCTAGCCTGTGAGCGCTGAAGCCGTCTGCTGATTGTCGGCGGCACTCTGAACAGTCATTAAAAACGATCCGTTGCGCGCCCGTCGTTGTGTTCTCTATAGAATCGCGTCGGACATAGTGAGTGAGCGGCTTATATTTAGTTTCAGTATATAAAAGTAAAAAAAGCCACTACTTGCGGTAGTAAAATTGATTTTACATTTTTTGTATTTGTGGCGCTACCACAGTATTTAAATGACGTACATTGCAAATATTATGTAAGCAAATTGCTTGATGAAATCGTATTTAGACCAGGTTTCTCTGTGAGGAATTCATTATTCATCTGTATATTAACCATCGCGTCACCTATTGATTCTTAATATAATAAAATCATTATAAAACTTACGATCTAAATTAAAGTATTAGTGTGGCTAATCACAATGACTCACTCAGCGTGATATTTGCAATCTCATCTTGATATGTTAGTAGTACAGTATATATACATTTTATAATTAGTGTTTATAGTGTTATTGTCATATAATAAATACGTTATATCATTGACTTCTATAAGATCATAGTACAGTCAAAAACTGTTATATACTTGTTTAAAGCTAAATCATTATTAATATTTGTATGCAATATTCCGATATTTTAAATTTGTTTATGAATAACGTACTTAATTTTATTTTTTGCATTCGAAAACGTAGGGCTGTGATGTCCTTCGTCGCGTAGCTTTAATTAACGATTTTATGTTTATCTTAAGTTCTTTTATAGCAGTTACGATGGCAAAGGGCACATCTGGATAAAAAAGTAACTTATGTTTATATTTAATTAGAAAAATTAATTCTTTATAATGACGTCACATTTTTTTTGGTTAATTTTCCGGAGGGGTGTAAGTTAACAGTATTATGGAAATTTTAATCGTGTCCAACGAAAATTACAAAGATGAAATTCTTATTTTTTTCAGCCAGTGATAAATATGTATGCAAATATTTGCAACAATCACTCTAGGCCTACGCGCCTTAATATACAATAGCTAGGACTATCTCATGTAGGTAATGAACAGCAAGGCCACTAAAGGGGAAATAATTAGTCAAATATGAGATTTCCATGTGTACTTGTCTGATAATTTCGCTGCCGCAATTACATCGAAGTCACTAGGAATACGGCAACACACTTTGACACGTTAGTACCTTATCATTAAATATCAGTCAACAATATAAAATGTTAGGCGTGTTGCTAGGCCATATGGGCCTATTCCTGATTACGTGTCACATAATGTGAAAGAAATTCGCCTTGAAAGTGTTCTAATATTGTAATGTTTTCAAATGTGTACAGAGCGGCCTTTGTGCGTAGCAAAGGCATATTTATTATTATTGAGTAAATATTTATGGGATATATTTTTATGAGATATTTTTGTACGTAAGTTAATTTATTACAAAAGTTGAATGAAACCTGCGTGGTTAGCAATGGCTGTGCTGGTGGTCGTATGTGCGGGCGTATGTGTTGTAAGTAGGCCTAAAGTTTGGTTCAGACTAGAAATACTCCAGATGCGATGTTAAGCAAACACTAGAGAAGCGACACAAATGCTAAAAAAAAAACGCTTGTAAAAAACATAGACGCGTAATTGCATAAACGCAAAATTCAACGTTTTCAATAGTTGGCTAACGCCGCCAGCTGTCAAAACTATTATTTTGTTGCGAGTGGAATGAGAAAATAATGTCAAGCCGGGCATTTACTGCGTCGTACGACAGTCGACCAACGACCAACGAATCAAACTCTGTTTTCAGACAGAGCTTGACGGCGGCGACGCCGTCTGCTCATTTTCGGTAGCAGTCTTAAACACGATCCGTTGCGCGCGCGTCGTGGCGTTGCTTTCTTTATAAATCGCGGCCGACGACAGTGAGTACCCGGCTTATCAGTTGTGTCTTGTGTTTGCATTGCGTCTGAAACGTTCTAGTGTGAACCAACCGTGTAGCAACTCGTTGTACTGCCTGCTACAAACGCATGCATACATTAAAACAGAAATCGATGTATCAATGTATAATGCTATCTGGTACTTTTATTGTTCATCTCGTATAGAGTAAAAACCACCTCACACATTAAAACACATGAATCACACCATCGTCCAGGGACGTTTGTATTGTCAATAATATTTGACGCATGTCCTTGAAGAGATTTGCTGAATGATGATGCCAACTGATATAAATCATAGAAATCAGGATTCACTTTAAACGTCCTTTCGGAAATGAATTTTGGAAAATTGCATAGAAACAATAAACACAAAATTAATAAGCCAATTCGCAGTTTCAACTGCGCATGCTCTTATGAAGGTCAACCGACATAAACACAACGTAACTTTATGTCGATACTTGGATACGGGAATGCACAGTCCAATCTACGAATGCTTATTAATCGAAGTGTGTTTTAGTGGATTATGTTGATAAAGATGCGCTTTTTGGCGAAGACGAGCACCTTTGCAGTGAGAGTAAAGTACGTTAGAATACATGCTAGAAGTTAGGCTTAATAACGACATTGAGGGCAGTAATCTATGAATGTGTGAGTGACGTAGCCTACTGTGTGAATTCTCAAACAGCCGGTAGCGATATCTCGAAATTGCATGCTGGGATTGTGACTAGGAGCAATACTGTAATGATATTGGCATGATATGAATAGAATGTGGCAGGCAACACTTGGTGCTGCTGCTGTGTAGCAGGCAATCTTATTCGTTTAGGCGACCAATTGGCGCGCTGTTTTTTTTAAATGCTGCTAATCCTTTCCTTCACAAATTAATGTTCAAAATATCCTGCTCACCTATATAATACTTTTCATCTAAAAACAACCTATAGATAACTTCTGCATTTGAATATGCACCCCTTAAAAAATGCCTATATATTTCTATATTTGAAAGGTTTAGTTACTTATTGACTTCAATTTTTTATATAGTACCAATGTTGTGCAAAGAGGCCATAATATGACTTATCCGCTGGAAAACTGGTCCTTACGTGCGGCCTAAAGACTACCACGGGGCACTGTATATAATAATAATAATAATAATAATAATAATAATAATAATAATAATAATAATAATAATAATAAATAATAATAATTAATAATAAATAATAATAATAAATAATTAAATAAATAATAAATAATAATAATAAATAATAATAATAATCGAACACGTGGTCCTGATGGAAAAAAGATGACTTGAATCGCCAAGTGAAGGCCATGTCATACCAACAATACGATCACTATTGCAAACCATCTACACCCAAATTCCGTAGGACGTTGACTTGCCCTCCACCATCGCGCATGCCCTACAACGAACGACCCTGTCAACATTAATTATGAAGTTTTTAAAGTGATAGACAGGAGAACATTCAATCATTGGAATTGAGACCTACTCATGTCTTTCTCATCAGTTTTGATGTGGTGGAATGATTTTAAATACAAATTTCAATTCCATACACAAACCTAATTATAAGACAGGACCGTCAGTGTGTGACTATTCACGTAGAAAAATATGGACAGTGTATTAATATTACATTTTATATTAGTCTTAGCAGTAGAAAAGATAATATTAAAATGAAAACACATTTTGCAAAATAAAATTCTAGACATACATATATAACAAAAGAAAGCTCAGAAAAATCTCCGAATTAAAAAATAAAAACAACTAGGCCTATGATATAGCCCTAAGGCTAAGTAAAACATTTAGAAAAAGACTAGGAATAATAAAAGCGACAAAGCCTACTCGGTCCCCACAACTTTCACCCACTGGAACTTCATGTCTCCAAGGCCTTATTAGGTCTTATGGTGCCACGTCATGCGTGACCAACTACGTCTGGTCACTTTCATACTTACAGCCAATCAGAGAACCGAAACATCGAACCGAAAGCAATTGCAGGACAGCCACCTTGAAAATCTGCAGGACTATAAAACCGACCAGTTTTTTAATTTAACATGTCATACCGAAATTCCATTCACTATTTCGACATTATTAGATGGAAATCCATGACCCTCCCATTATTGAACCTGACACAGTCAATGAATTGCTTCCTGTACAAAACCACTAAAACTCATGCTGCCTAGCAACCATTTGGCACCTAGCACGCTCATCATCTGACCTGCATTACATCATCGTTGGTTGATGTATATTGAACACCCTACTACTCGCACCTTATTCTTCCTTTCACACACACACTTCATTATCCTCACCCCACGTAGGCAAATATTTCTCAGCAACTATGAGACAGCAATTTTATAGGGGGTAAAAGACCAGCTATTTCAAATTGGGGGGGGGGGATGGGAAATTGGAATTTAAAATAGGGGGTAGGAGGTGAATAGGAGGTAGGAGGTGAATAGGAGGAACTGCTATATGAGATGAGGCACCAATTTAGGGGGGTTGGAGATCCTCCTGTTTAAGAGTCTACTTCTGCAATGAAGTTTACAATTCTGCCAGATAATGCTCTCCTACACCCCTCTCCCATACAGTTACACACCTGGAGGGGGACACACAGCAGTCACAATCCTCACTAAAATATTTTCGAAGAAAAACAAATTACGGTCACATAATTAAGATAATCACCTCATATTGCATTACTTTGTCAGCTACACCCCTTCAAACCAGCCCTCCCAAACAAAACCCTCATAAGCCCCCACCCCTTCCCTATTTGGATGTTGAGTATTCTCAATAAACATCATATAATTCATATAAAAAGTACCATCTTTGTTTGCATCTAAACTCCAGAAATACAGCAGAAAAATGCGTATTCCAATAGAGTTGTGCGGAATTGTATATGATGTTTGCTGTTTTTACTCTGTACAGTAAGACCGACGCTTAACATAGAAACTAGAACTGTAACATTTTAGCCTTCGTCTTGCTTCTACCTTGAATTTCTAGTGCTCTTGAAGTGCATTGGCTGAAAATTCATTGCCGTGATTACTATTTCCACACTCGCAGGTTTTAACAATATACAGCAGTAATTGTGGCGGATGGATATCCTGTTGTAACTGTATTATAATGAGCTACAAAAACAGGCTCTTGCTTCCTATAATATTGCAGAATCTACAGTACTTCACTAATTATGTAGTCATTAACTTAGTTTGCATTCAACTGCATCATTCCCACCAAACTCCTGCAGAAAATTGAGAGTCTTTGCGACAGCCTTGGCTAGGTATGTCATGGTTCCATACTGTCCACTCGGAGCACTGTCGTAAAAATTGCCGCAAATTCCGGCGACTCCGTTACATTTTAGTACATCCTGCTTAAAACCTGGAGGATTTCCTGCACAGCATAACACTGAATCACCATTATGAATTCTCTGCAAGACAAAACCATTGCACTATTCATAAATTACATAAGTCTATAGTTGACACTTGTATTTAATGACACAAAGGAAGTGACCAATGACTTCACACGGATGAGCTGTATTTTTGTGGTAAAAATGGTCTGATTGCTTTCATATCCCAGAGCCCTTGGTTCAAATCCTATAACATAACAAGAATAATTTATCACGATTCGATAAGGAGTCCACTTCCTACATCTCATAATGAGACAATTTATAAAGTATCATTTCCATCCGGTAATTAATTATACATTTTGCTGATGTGATGGGAGGGGGAATGGGAGAATTAGGGGTGAGGTAGAATATATCTGTATTTTACATCAAAATCCTTTTGAAAATGTTATTAAGATTTGTGAAACTGTGACTTAAAATTCAAGGTTATTACCAATCAATCAATCATGAAATTTATATTGCACTAAAGTCCATAAATAAATGTAAAACACATAAAAAAACATAGTGCCTTATTGTTTATTGTATTGTAACAGTATGGAAAAATTTTAAATTGTATAATGAGTTTTATGAAATAGTAAATACAGCCAGCTGGATCTTGTATGTCAAATTATGAATAATACATCTCTTAATGATCAGGAAAAAGCTATATCTTTTTCAAAGAATAAACTTGTTGATCAAATTAAAAATTGGTTTGCAAATCGATCTGATTTTTCCCTATGCAAATATATATTTAATGAAACTTATCGTAGCAACTTCAAACGTTCCATTAAGAACTTTTGACTGTTATAATCACGGTGTCTGTGACAGTATTAAAACAATTCTATATGAAATCTGTTCCTTGGCAAGAATCACCTCGATTTCATAGAGTTGTTGCTGAAGTCGTTTTGGCAACACTGTCAAAGGCTGATGGCGTGCCTCATGTTAATGTATTGGTCACTTATGTAGGACACTTCTCCTTTTCATATAGTGTTTTCATTATTTAATTCAATTAATTTAGTAAATGTATTTTTAATGTATGTGGTATGTTTTATCTTCTCCTTGTTTAGAGGTTTTGATGAATAAATTTTATTTGATTAGATTACAAACTTCATTCCTAAAAATTGACAAATAAGTTCTAAATATACAGCGGAATAGATTAGCATTGGGAAAACCCATTTCTTGGAGCAGTTATTCCAACTTTTTTACACTCAGCCATCTTTTTTTTTTTTCTTGTAATCACATGACAGTCAGCAAACATATTTTTAATTTTGAGCAATCCAGTTGGGTTTCAACTCGCTTTTTCATTTTTGTTTCTGTCATGGTATTTTAAATTATTTTAATCGATTAAATAAATGATATATGAACACATTTAAATCATATCCCAAAGTAAAATTCATATCTCCTTTAGCAAACGTCATAATTGGCCTTCGAGGCCCCCAAGGCAAGAATAAGGTAAAAGGCAGTCTTGAGTCAGGGAGCAAGTTTATGGATAGACACTCTGTATTAGTCAGTCTCTCTAACAACTCACTCCATTGACTTAAGTTATCGTAGAAGTATCTTAAGAATATTTTTCAATTGTGATATTTGCTAGGAAGCAGCACTAAGTAAATGATATTTTGCATCAGCTTTCAAAAATGTCAAATATTAATCATCACTGTGAAAGACACACTTCCTAATAATATTATTCTCGATTCTGTAATAAATTTTGTTACGTGAAGTTAGCAGAAATGCCAATTCATTATGAGGTTGTGACAATGCAGTGTTCGCTTCCAAGCGTTTACTGCGGTCAGCAATATCAGTCCAGGATATTACCAATTTCGTACAACTTAGCACTCAATTCCAGCAGCATGTCACCCATCCAAAGAGACTACTCACACATACCCAGCCGAGACAAAAAAGAGAATTTGTTCATTTATTTCAACTTCCTTTGTCCAGAAGGACACGGTCAATGCAACCATTTTTTTCACTGTGGTCAAAGTTATATCAGAAAAAAACATATATAAGAAAAGTAAAAACAAGCATGTCACACATCCAGACACTTTACATTCACACTTAATGAATTTATTCATTTTCTCAACTTTCTTTGTCCAGAATTGTGGTCAAACTTAAATCACAAAACAACAGAGACATAAAAAGAAAATTAACAGGCACCATTAGAAATAAAATATTTATATTATTTTTCAAAAATTGTTTTAAATTTTTAGTTTTCCAAATAAAAGATCAAAGACAAACATTTTTCTCTTCAGTAATGAAAAGACAATGAAATTAAAAAAAGTGAAAAAAAAAAAACAACAGTCCAATTCTAGAGAAATTATAAATGTCACCAAGTATTCATTCACTAATAATTTGAACTTCATGATGGTATGAGGAAATGCTGTCGTATGTTTTACAGCTTCCTGCAGTACTCATCAATTTAAAGCTACACGTTTGTTGCTACATAGATTAAGTTAAATATGAGCATGTTATATTGCAGGTGCATTCATATACAAGTAGGCATATGAAGTTGCAGCTGCTCACATTGAATCATAACTAGGCACATTGAAGAAGACGAGAACATTGATTTGCACCTGCATGCACTGAGTCAAAGCTAGACATTTACTAAGCTAGGAAAATTAAGTTGGTGTTGCATGCATTGAATCACAGCTAGGCACATTAACAAAGACGAGAGCATTAAATTGTAGCTGCATGCATTGAATCGAAGCTAGACATTTACAAAGCTGTGAACATTCGCTGCACGCATTGAGCCATTAAGCTTAGGCCCAACATATTGATATTAATTTCACTGGTGTTCAACCCGATTAACAATTCAAAAGGAACCATCTCTAAAACCATAGTACAAAATTTGTTAATGATCCAATGGCTTTGTGTATAGTACTGCAGGAGGTATGTGGAGAGTGGAATCTAGAAACTTTGAACCATAAAGATAACTAATCATACTAATAATTTTCATTTTGTTCATTTTTGTTTCATTGTGATGACTTTCTTACTTTATTCTGGTCTCTTTGAGGGCCCAGTGTAGCATCCATATTGCCTTAGAAAACATTTAAATCCAAATTTATCGTACCTGATCTTCTAGAAACAGCGTGTTTGCATCGGAAACCAGTTTGTCTACTTGAATAGTTCCACCAAGACTCTTAAACCAACCATTCTCTACCACCAAAGTGAGAACCATTAGGGCCTCAACCATCAGCTGTCGGTACTGTGGTTGCGGTATACGGTTGAGCACAGTCTCAACTGCTAAGGCAAACTTAAATTCTCCAGCTGTCATCTCTCTTGTAAGACTTTGATGCAAAAAATGCCCCTCTATACTAATACCATGACACTGCAAAAAACAGACAAGGTTTTAAAGCCATTTTTTCCAACAATAACATAAATGTTTCGTGTTTCTCATCAAGGATAATAGTTGTGATTAAAATATTAATTCATGACTAAATTTAAGCACTTCCTTTTAAGTTGACACTTCAGAACACAAATCATTTCTTTTTACTATACTATTATTGCCTGCTTTCCAAAATTAACAAAGGAAAATGGTGATGGAAATAATAAAAAACAGATTATTAAAAATGAAACTCATCTTTTATCTTTTTTCTTTCTCTCAATATGATACAAACCTGTGATACCAATTGCATAATACATATTCACTGATAATCTTCCACATAGGCCCATAATAATATTGCTCATTTGTTAGCAACGGGGATTTAACTTATTCTAAATCTGCTGATATTTGGTACATTTGTTGTTTATAATATTTCCAATACTTTTTCCAAGATTCGTGAAGATTCAATATCAATAAAATATGTAGTAGGCCTAGAATTATTAGGCCTAGGCGTAGTTCCTGTGAATTCTGAGAAAAATGTGTAAATTTCAAAACACAGAAAGACGTTTTTTTTTGTATGGTAAACTCAATAGTTCAACGCAATTTGTTAAGAAAACAAACACATTCAACAATTATTTTAAGCTATACTGTATTTGCTGTTATATTTGAATTTAAATTATTATTAAACCAAAATGTTATGGAAAAAATAAAGGAGGAAGCGTTCATGTTCGTAATAAAATGACGAAATAATCAAATTAACCAATCTTTGTGCCGTTTTTGTCGTCGTCAAGGAGAGCTTGGGTTTGTATACATGAAAACAACCTGATTCTCATTGGTGAAAATAAAGGCTATCACAATAGATTGACCAACCATAGTCAAGCTTATAAAATTAGCTTTATAATGATGCTAAACATGACATGGCTGGCTTTAAAACGTGGTTAGTAATAAGGATGATTTCTCGATTGTTTTACAGAGTAAACAAAAGGTAATTTTTCATACTTCCAGATTATAGCGTCTCTAAAAAATCATGCTTTTGGGCATTTTAAGGTAAATAATAAAAAACTTTTGAGTGAATTTGATTATATAATATTTAAACTACTACTATATATATTTAAACTACTACTATATATATATATAATGTTATGCATTGATAAGTACAGAAAAACAAGTCATGATGTATTTTTTTGCACAAAACAAAAAATAGAATTTTGAATCAACTTTCAAATTAAACAATTTACAAAAAAAAATGTTGCTTTTACTGACATACTTATCAAAACAAAAATTTAAGTCTTAAATTCGTTAATGACTTTATATAAAGTGTATATGTCTCTTCACCAACTTTTTTTTTAAATTGAGAGGCTTATGTACTTTAACTTGTCTAAACTCATCATTTTATAATCCCTTTAATATCACAAGGACAAAATGTCCTTATCTAGTTACAGATTTGAAAGTTTAAAACTTGCATTTACCAACTTGGGAGTCATTCACCGTGACAGCCTTCCAAACCTGCTGTCAGTATTGACATTGACGTTGCGATTGAACTGGGACCTTAGGATCATCTCTACACTCCATTTTAACTTCAATGATTATAAGTCGGTTTTGTGTTCAACCGCAATCCTATATTACATTTTACAGGGATAATTTTCTGCCTCACTCAATTTATCTATGAAGGTGTGACCTCTAGGCACTGCCTGAGATGGAGGCCTTCAGACTCTACCGTTATCTTTGGGGAGCCAGAACAAGAAGAGAGGAAGTGATGAAACTTGCCCATATTTATACATATTACTGAAGATGACATGATGAAGTAAAAAATGCAATGAGGGAGATTAAGGAGAGTGGTGACTACTATAGAAATCGAGTGATAGTGAATTAAATTGACGTATAAAATGAAGCCTCCAATACAATGTCAACCCGACAAAAAAAAGAGGAATGACCTCATTTCCGCATCTAATTAGGGATGATCTGAAATGTTTCAACATCACAGAACATGTTTAAAGCCGGGTACAAGTTTAACCTGAGACAAACACATCTTCGTTATGTGAGAGCGTCTGATTTATCAACGACAATTTTCCATTTTTGAAAAGTAGTGCTTTAAATGTTCATGCTTTTCATTATATTACTCTGTTTTTATTTTTGTCGTTTCATGCTGCTTTGATCATACTTTAGTGAATGTCAATAAATAAAATGAAAACAAACGAGAACGTTATTGTAACGGAAATTATAGTATATGCTGCGTACCTTTTCTAAAACACCCCAAACCTTTGGGTAGAAGTCCTGTGGTGCTCGATTAAGAGCACCGTCTAACCGTCGTCTCCTAAGCCACTGCCCTGATCTTTCAGAAAAAACTTCATCTTCTAGTGATTCCTTACTTAGATCCAACTTACTAGCATCTCCGCTCTTGGATATCATCTGTAAAAGTGAAAACAGATTCCTATATACAATATGTTGTACTTCTTTTATTTTTACCTATATTTCTATTATGATATTGTAAGCGCTATGTTTTATAAGTATATTTACGATCTACCTATATATGGTCATGACCATATTTAGGCATGTCACATGTTTTTGTCAAATAAAATTTGATAGTCTGGACAGGACTTAAGTTGTTATTAGGACGAAAAGAGATTGACCACATGAGCTTGGTCATGCTTCTCAACAAGTGCTTTAAGGGATGTCGTCTGTATTCTGTGAATGAACTTTCCCGGAATGTCAATTAAACAGAATGACCAATTAGAACATTACCAGGAAAATACATAGAAACACATGTCATTACAAATTTTTACACTGTCAATTAATGGTACCTTAGCAACAGTATTCAACAGGCTGGGCTCAGCGCAATGGCACACTGGTGGTTAAAGTGTTTGCTTTCAAACCCCAGGGTCTTCAGTTCAAATCTTTAACACTTGTTTATACCTATATATAGTCATGATATATGGTCATGATATGATGTCATCATGACCATATTTAGTCATGTCACAGTATCCATTTTGCGACGATCCTGGCACTTCAAATCCACATAATACACATTTAAGATGGCCTCTGAACATCAACCAACCTTTCTAGGACACACTGGAAGGGTCACCTTCTATAAATACTCTTAAAAAATAAACAATAATAATAATACTGTAATAATAATAATAATAATAATAATAATAATAATAATAATAATAATAATGTCCAAGTAAAGAATTGTAAGGTGAGCGTAAAGAAAAAGCAGACAAAATGACGGTGGAGATTTAAAGAACAGAGAAAAAAACCAAGACAGACTATCCTAAAATTAACCAAAAATGAAAACCACAAAAAAAATAAAGAAATAGAATAATATTATTATAATATAAGAAATATTATACACTCCACCCCCCCAAAAAAAAATTTATGTAAAATCATTTGTATTGAAATAAACTTGCTAAACATTAGTATTTGCAAGATTTACTAGATTTGTGTCAATTCGTGCTTGGCAATCAGCCTGTTTAGCATCATTATTGGCAGCATATTACAAATATCCTTCAATTCAATTCCCTCAAGGTAAAATAAACAACAATTGTTTATGAATAAATTACTAGAAACCTTCAAAAACTGTCTGTTAAAATTTCATTAATACTTCTCTATTTCAAATGTTACTGAATGACTAATTAATTCATTGGCTTTTTTGAACTTTATATTCTGAAAGAGGATCAATGAGGCTGTCTCATAGTAAAATAAATTAACAAACAACATAAAATAACATTATAAAACGAAAATGTTGTGTTGCCTGAACACAGCTTGTTTTTTTAAAATTGTTATTATAGGCCTAATTGTGAGTTCAATGCTACCAAGTATTCAGAATCAGACATTCAGTTCATTTATTAATCTCATACAAAGCATAACATGAAATTTGTTTTCTTGGTAAAAATTTTATGTGACAAAAAAATGTGATGTGCCCATATATGGGTACGATGACATATCATCAAATTGTATCAAAAAAAGTTGAACGTGTTCAACTCTATGTTCCATCAAATTGTATGTGACGCTTTTTTGATGAAATTTGATAGTGTAGATAAAGCTTAACTCTTGAAATTTAAACAAACCTAAGCCAATTGGGAAAAAACAAATTAATATTTGTTACTGCAACTTTGCTGTACCACTGCAGGTAAACGGGCAGAAACCACCCTGCTTACTCCCAGGTACAAGATTAGCAACATCTAGTCTAATAATGAGTAGAAATAAACAATAAATAAAACAAAGTATGTATACTGTAACTTATTTACATTAATTTGATTTAGTTGAGACTCATCAACACCACATGATATTATATACATACTTATAACAATGCAAGTTCAAGTAGAATGGTACAAAAAAAAAGAAATTGAAAAATTACATGTATGTGTTAAAAATGCAATGCCAGGGAATCACACGACGAACATACATGTGTTTAAAGAACATGACATACATTGAGCCCTGTCCTGAAAAAAACATGTGACATGCCTTAATATGGTTATGATGACATCACATCATGAACATATATGGGCATACAACACTTTATTCAACTACATACCACATTGGGTGATTGCAGACACTCTCAGCAAAAAACAGAATAGATTTTTAAAGACAGATACAGGAATCCATCTGGATTAGGAAAACACATGTCACAGGAATCGTGATGAGGGGAACATCAGAGCTCCCCAACATCTACGGTGGCATCATATCAGACAGGGAAGTCACTGGGACCCAGCAGAGCACCACCCACCACCTGTTGTTGGAATGCTTTACATTATTTTTCTTAATGCACATGTTGCAATAACTCAGAATTAAAAAATTCATCAATCTTATTACTGAACTATGTACTGAACTATTAATATTGCGCTATCTTGGGCTAACTGTGGACTACTAACTTATTACGTCAAACACTCATATTTTTTAAATATTTCTCTTCTACCTTGATTACTTTGACATACCATATTTTAACAAATTTTTTTTTGTAACCCATTCATTTCTTTATAATGTGAAGTTTCCAAAATTGTTAATTATCAAATCAATTCTTGTTGTATTGTCTTAGGAAGCTATGCAGTGTTAATGCCAAATACTCAAGTTATATATTAATTGTTGTTGCAGTTTGGTCATGTCCATTATGAGAACTTGTAGGTTTAGAGGTCACTGCACCTGTTGACATTGACACATTCTCTCACTGGAATTTCTTATGTTTCTTGTTATGATTTCAGTGGCAATTCATATAAATATAAATAAAATAAACATATTTTACAAGTTTTAGAGAATTAGGGTCAGTAGACCACCAATGATTCATTAACAGGAAGACATCCATTCACGCTACATCCATCGATTACATAATCAGTATGTACAGCTCATGTTAATCAAAGCAGTAAAATTAATTTAATTAATTAGCAAAAAGGTCATTTATTTTACAAATGATTAATTTGTATACAGGTCATTTAAAAACAAATTATTTAATTTCTTAAGGAAATGAAGGTAATTATTAATATTCCGATAATGTGATGAATGGAATCCCGCCCGTGTAGTTAATACCATCTGTAAAGATATAAAAATACTTGAAAAATTAAAAAAAAAATATATAAATTGCTTAATTGCTTAATTTGGCACAATAAAAACAATTTGGTCTTCCAAACTTTTGGTCAGGGTGTCCTTGGCCAAGGCACTTTATCAACATGAAATCAGTCTACTCTGCTTTATCAATGGGTACCAGCAAACTGATTAGAATAACCTGCGATTGACTAGTGTCTCATCAGTTTGAAAATCCAACTCTCATCTGCTTCACACTACATACACTGGCTCTAAGCTCTAGCCCCGCTCTAAAGCTAGCAATATGAGCCCTCCAAAATGACAAAAGCATTTAAGAAGTGAAATTTAGTAACGTATCAATGGCATTGCTTATAGCATATGGAATTCAGTGAAACATGACAGTGGAACATAGTTGATGAAAGTGCATAGAACATACTTTCTTTTCTAAACTCCGGGGCTGGAAATAGTGTGCGACCGAGCGACTGGCAGTGGGAGGCTCATGATCACCCTGGAGGCATTTTTGGACAAAAGAGTTTTAAAAAATAAACTGTTGGGTTTTATAGTGTACGGATAACATTTGGTGCTAAAGACAATTTTCCTGGTTGAGTTTTATAGTGTACGGATAACATTTGGTGCTAAAGACAATTTTCCTGGTTGAAAGCACAAACACTTTTTTTCCAGGCCTGCATATAAACTCACAGTGTGGTCGACCTGCTTTTATGAATACAATTAGGTAAGCTGGCTCAATTAATGACGCCATCAGCAGTGTCCCTGACAAGTGAATATAAAATCTTGAACTTAATTTCATCACACTATCCACCTCACGCAAACAGCCAAGTTCAATTAAAATCAATTTTAAAGTTTCATGTCAAATTTTTCCTTTCAATCTCATAGCTTCAATTGCCAAACATATTAATTTTCATCAACAATTTCAACATGTCACCTTATAAACATGTTTGTTTAAAATTATTTATTTGAACTTTTGTGGTTTGATTCAAATCTCACCATCATTACTACAAAATGAAACAAAAAACACAAAATTTTAAAATGTTATTAAATAGATTTGAGGAAAGGTTTTTTGGAGACACCCAGTTAGGACCCCTAGCATTCATTAGCCAAATCTGGTTGAACAAAAGCTGATTTTACACTAAGCAAATATCAAAGTGTTGGTTCGCTTACCTGAGCTCCGATTGATTGTGCATATTTTTCGCTTCACAAACAATAGAAACGGGTCGAACCACTGACTTCGCTGAAGCGAAAAACTCCAATAGAAATGTGAATGTGTCTGAACCGATGCTTTAAATTCATGCGAATAAATTTGCTTAGTGTAAAACTGGCTTAACTGGCAATATTGAATTTTCTAATAGGAGGCCAACAAGGTCAAAGAGCAATACTGTCATATCATTTCATTTCATTTCTTTAGGCACGAGCACCAAGGATATGCCAATCAGTGAACTTAATAATTATCCTACGTGGCATATCTATTAAACAACAGGGGACTGAATGGACCAGTACACCGGGTTAACCCCCTACTCTTCTTAAAGTATGTACTGGGTTCTTTAAAGTGCACACAAGCTAAATGCGTACACTGGACCTACGGTTTAAATTCCTTATCCGAAAAGACTTGTTCCACCACCGGAACCATTGGCGAGTGAGCCGTTCGAACCAGCGCCGATATTATAGCTGAAGGTTACAGTGCCCCTGACTTAACCACACAGCCAATCAACTTCCTCATATCCATATTCATTATTATATATGCAAACATGTATGCATATTTGTAGCAAAGGTATCTAATCATTTTGTCCTTTGCGTGGAGAGACAAATTATCGGTTGTAGATGTTCATGTAAAGGGAATGTAAATCCTTGAGTAAAGGGGTTTCCATATTTGTGTATCAGGGGTTTGCAGATATTTGTGTAAGGGTATGTAGACATTGTGTATAGGTATGCAGACAGGGTATGTACACATTCAGTGGCGTATCTTGAATTCTTGAAATGAGGGTGCTGATGGAAGGGTGCGAAGAGGGCCTCGATGATCAGTTGAGGGGTGCTAATTTGCATAATAAGGTGATTTTAGGTGACTTTTAATTACTTTACCATGATTATTGGGGGGAGGTAACTTGGTTGGGGAGGGGCGCAAGTAATTTTTGCAGGGGCGTGCACCCCCCGCGCACCCCCTAGATACACCATTGTACACATTGTGTATAAGTATGCAAACATGTGTGCAAGGGAATTCATTTGTATAAGAGGGTAGAATTCACAAAATACAACACGACTATTCTGCAGAGATCCAAAATGGGGTGCAATAAATATTATTACAAACTTAAAATTAAAATGTGATGTAAAATTGGAAGCGATTCAAATAGAGGCTGATTAAATTATATGGTGACACACAATCACTTTAGGCAACATTTTGTTGATACATTAAGCCTGTTTTCCACTAGGCAAATTTATTTGCGCAAATCAAAAGCGTTGATTCGTTTCCTGAGCTCTGATTGGTTGCGCATTTTTATTTGCTTCGCAAAAAGTAGAAACAGTTCAAACTACTAATTTCACTGAAGCAAAAAACTAATAGAAATGTGAACGTGAATGCGAATGAACCGATGCTTTCAATTCCCATGAATGAATTCTATTGGTTCATTCTAGTTATGAACAAAATGTTGACCAATGAACTTAAACGAGATAAAGGACATTCTAACCTATCATTTTTAAAAAGATTTGATCAAACAATCAGACTATCATCACAAACAAGATAAGTAAAATATGACCACCACCTCAAAGGAGATCATATAATTCCGATGCAAACATTACTGAAAATCTGACCAATTACCTCAGATACGATAAATTTCTGACCACTCACTTTAAAGGATATAAATTCTGATCAATCACCGTAAAGGAGGTAAATTATGATCAATCACCTTAAGGGAGATAAATTCTGACCAATCACCTTAAAGGAGGTAAATTCTGACCAATCACCTTAAAGGAGGTAAATTCTGACCAATCACCTTAAAGGAGGTAAATACTGACCAACCACCTTAAAGGAGATAAATTCTGACCAATCACCTCTAAGGAGATAAATTCTGTCCAATCACCTCAAATGTGATTATGTAGACAGCATTTTATAGACTAAAAAACTTATATGTATGAATTCAAGGATTCCAACCAATAAATGCAAATAAAATATGCATTGTCATGAATTTAGAAATTCCAACCAATCACCTCAAGAAGGTAATAATGGTCCAATTATAGAGTGCATGCAAACCTCTATGTGCTTAACATAGGACAAAAAAGGAACCAAGAAAGTAATAATTAATCTAACTCTACGGTTTTAAATGTGAGTTTGACAAGCAAAGGCAGTTCACTTCACACATGCTACACAAATATCTTGAGTACATACCGTCATTTCTTTCTTAAGTTGTGACATCCCAGAAATGTCCTCTTTGGTGGATGTGACGATAGATAACTGTCGATCCTTCAAAGCTGATGCATTACTCGCTGAAAAAACAAAAACACTTTTTTATAAATATACATTAAAAAATAAATATAACATACAAGAATAGATTAAGGTGTTCGCTGCCAGGGACGCAAGTTCACACCTGACAGGGTTCACTAATCATGCCAAATTTTGAGTTTATATCTACACCTGTCCAAACATACTGTCTCATCGGTAAAATCTTTGGCAGTAGTCACCAGAACACAAACTATCGCAATTGAGGTTCAGCGAACAACCGGAATTAATGATAACAAAATTAATACCATGTTTGTTCATGTTTCAGTACTTTGGATGGAAATGGTTTTCATTAAGGTGGCGCCTTGTATACACTGTCACAAGGAATTGAATTAGAAAAAAAGGCTTCACACTTAATGTGATAATGATGTATTTCTTACCTGTTGCAACACCAAATTCTCTTCCACTCAAAATGTGATGCAACAATCCTTTCATTTCAAAGGGACTGAGTGCCATTAATTGTTCATAAGCATTTTCAGCTGTAAGAGGACACAAATTTATCAACAATCATAAAGAGATCAATAATGGAATAGATACTGTCACTATTTACAATTAATGACTGGCTCAAAATATCATGCAACAATCCTTTCATTTTAAAGAGACCGAGTGCCATTAACTGTTGATAAGCAAATAATAATAATAATGAAATATGTTCATGGAAATTAAGTTAAATAAGAACAACAACAATATGAACAATAATCAATATATAGACAATAACATTAAGATATAACAATAATAATAATGATAATAATTATAATAAAAAAATAAAGCAAAAAAAAAATGTACAAAAATAATAATAATGTACAATTATACACTACTTTGCCTAAGATGGGGAATTTGAAGATAATGTAATTTTTTAAAATGATGAGGGAAAGATACGAGTGAGTTTGATGGATTTGGAGAGAGTGTTCCAAAGATGAGCAAATGCATAAAGGAATTCACTGTGTGTGATGAACCGTGGAGGGTCCTTTCATAAACCAGGTTCCCCCCACCACCACCCCCACCCAATTAAATTTCACAGCTCTGCTTTCCTTGAGTCTCAGTTTGAGGGAGGAAATAAAAGTATTATCAGCGTACAGTTGTTGGTCCTTCATGCAACATTGCCCGTGTGCACGTTAAAGACTGCAGGAAGATCTTCAGAAAATAGCAGGGGCTTGTTGAGTTGATTGCCTATTGATTTACTGCCCAATTCACAACCAGGAAGGCCCCACTAGAAATTGGTCTTTGGACTGTTTTGGGTCAGATTTAGTGTTTCACAACAAAGTGGTCGATCTAGTTTGTACAGCTTGGTGGGCCCCAAAACAAAGAATAATAATAAGCATCAGGAATGTGTAGAGTTAGTACAGTACCTGAGCAACTGAGGGCACGGGCCAATTCCGAGCACATGATCTGAATTATGAGACCAATACGTATCCGAAGCATTTCTTGAAAGAGGATTGGTTCGGTCCGAATGAACATCGCTAAATACTGCAACAATTCCTATGAAAGAATAGTACATGGATATCAGAATTGTTATCAAATTATTATCTTTGTCGATCAGTAACCAAAGACTACGTTTATCAAAAGCTTTGATCATCCATCCAAAACCACAAATTGAAGCCCAATGAGCTCTATCCCGAGAAGAAGCCCATCTCGAATTGAAGCGCCCTCTTTAGTTTGCAAAAGCAGCCGCGAAAAGAAGCCTATGGGCTTCTTTACATGATAGCATAGGCTTTTTTTTAGACAGTACAGTACATACACTGTACATGAATTTCAAAGAAACAAAATACATTTAAAACATACTTGGTGATTTAATGCCAGTCAATACACTCCATGATACAGATTGATGTTATACAGTGTTTTATAGCAGTACCCTTCATCTAACACTGCCATCATTATTATCATAACTTCATCCACATTACTACCAACACTATTGTCCATATTTATCATCTGCATTATCACACTTCCACTATCATGACAGCAATCATCACCACAAATATAAATAACGATCAAATCATCTAATTATTGTCATTACTTGTGTAAGAACTGCCGACCCACTGTCTTGCCCACATGCTTCCGAAATAATTTTCTGAAGTTCTTCAGGGGACAGAGGCGCCGTGATGATGGTTTCCCTTGGCTCTGGAGGCAGGCCAACAGACAGTTGCTTCTGGCGGACTAGTAAATCGGTGACTGCTTGGGCTAGCTGCTCCACTTGCTTCCCAAGCATCCCAGCTGTATGGCGTATCAAAGACCAAGCTTTGTGGTGTCCACACTTTATGTGAATAATATGAAAAAGAGTCAATTAATCATAACCTCATCTGCATATTGTTTACTATGTAAAACTAGATCTTTTTAATTGCCCTAAAATAACATGTTGGTACATTGAACAGGAAAGTTATTCAAAGATATTAATACTTTTAAAAATTTATCTGTATTTATTTATTCATTCATTTATATGTGCAGTCATTTATTTATAGTATTTTGGGTGTTTTGCAATAGTCATGTTAATACTACTGACAACGGTTGTGGCTCGGAAACTCAAAATTATGGTCAGGGGTTCGACCCCTCATTGTGCAGATCATGCATGTCTTTGGGCAAGTAATTTATCTATGTTTGTCTCTCTCTACCCAGTGGCGTCTTGAAATGGGGGTGGTAATGGGGGAGTGAAGGTGAAGTGGGAACTCGATGATCAGTTGAGGGGGTGCTAATTCGCATAATAGGGTGATTGTAGATGATTTTTAACTACTTGATTGTAATTTTTGGAGGCGACCTGGGCTGGCACAACTAATTTTTGGAGGGGTGTGCACCCAACAGCCACATACGCCACTGTCTCCGCCCAGGAGTATAAATGAGTATTGGCATATAATGGGAAGGTAAGCAAACTCACTTTACCCCTAAAAGCATGTAATCACTTACCTTGAGATACAACTCTTCCAAAAGCAGTTTCACTGTTACACCTTCTTGACCATTGAGTTCAGTATCCCAATTAGGTCCCCTTTAAATAAACAAACACAAATAATAAATCTATTTATAATATTTTTATATCAAAAGATGATTTAATGATTTAAAAAAAAAATTTTATTTAATTTTACAAAATTTGTTTTTTCTGTTCCAAATGTCAATGGTGAAACTGAAGGAAACAAAGTACAAAAAAAATTACATAATAAAGATGTAGCATGTTAGTTTAGATGTTATCTCCAATCTCAGAGTCTTGGGTTCAATTCATATAAATGTCACAGGATTTGTTTTATGAACAAAAATTACTCCATTCCCTGAAACTCCCATACAGCATCTTGTTTGTATGTTGTAAAGGATTGCCACTCAGTAATCAGTTTGCTTCTTCTATCATGTTCTTGAGGTCAAAAACATTTAAATAACAAATGTAATAAGCACAACGAAACTACATCTCAACAACTTAAAAAAAAATCATTGTTTTCCAACAGATGACTCAGTAACATTTTAAAACATTATATTTACATAAAAAAAACAATGATTTATTAATAAAGGAAGTCTTAATGAAAAGCAAGAAACCCAAAATATTAATTGAAATTTCAAAAAATTTACAGAGAAGTAAGATGATTCATATATGTCACAAAAGCACATTGGCAGATATATTTTTAAATCTTTTTTTGCACCCTTAGGAATATCTGCTCTTTCTGTCCTTTCTCACACTATTGGTCAAAACATGAAATCTAATTGGTTTGCATGATAGCTATGAGGTCACGACTTCCAATCAGCTGTTGTCAAAATCATACAATTAAGCAACTGCTCAAAATGTTTGCAAGCAGCAAAACAAAAAAATATGTGAACCAAGAAATAATCTAATTTAAAAGATTTCTTTCTGAGGAGCTCTGTGCTAAAGTATTAGCCTGTTTCATCGATAGAAGGCACAAAATGATCTAAACTTACTGTGATCTATCTAATCATCTATCCACAACTTATTTTTATTAAATTATGCATAAATGTTTATTTAAATTTGTAAATGGTACATATTTACTAACCGTCTTGCATTGTGCAGGATGGTCCAGCATTTGAAGTGATTTTGGACAAAACACGCTTTTTGCAGAAACACATGCATGATCATAAATTTGTAATTTTAGTTATAGCGCAAATTTCTTGATCAATGAAATATTAATTATGCATAATATGATTTTTTTTATGCATGTGCTTCATATGAATGCATGTATAATACAAGTGTATAAAGCATTATATGAATACAGGTACATAAATCTAGTATTGGAATCAACATTGTATTTCTAACTTTTAATTTGATGCAATACAAAAAAATCAGATTGATGATATTGTCGTTTTGCTGATAATTATAATTCAACACCTCCGCCTCGGCCGCATCTGCTTATGTTTACGATTAGTTGTTTCCAGTCTCTAGTCAGTTTATTAAATTCCCTTGTGTTCTTAAACGACGTGTGATACAGTGACGTTGACTGACTCAGATTTTTTTTTTTGTGAGGTGTTTATGTAAGATGATTGGTAATGTAGTTCTTGTTCTTCCAATGAATTTGCTGTTGGTTGTTGTGTTAAAATAATAGTCAACGGCTGTATCAGAATAATAGACATTTAATACTGGCTTACTTTGAAACATAAAGAAAATGAACAATATCAGCTTGTTCATAGAGCGATGTTGAATCCTTCAAATTTGCTAACAGCTCACCGATATTAACTCCCTGGTATATTTCAAGAATCTGCAATGAAACAAGAAATCAAATGATTACATACATCAGCAGTCTCCAAGAAATAAGGATGCACACATGACATTTAGAATTTTAAAATATAATCTAGAATGGACTGTTCTATTATTATTAAAGGGTGATCTAGGAACATTGGCAATAAGTAAAAATAAGGTCAGAATAATGACAACAATCAGTGAGTCAAGATAGTATAATACATACTCCAAGTATCGAAATGCACGTCATCCTGTTGAGATTCAATATTTCGACATTAATTATGTCATTATCAGGAATCAATGAGTCAATTATCCATATCAATGTATTATTTTGAATATGACTGGTGACACAACAGCTGAATATAATATTATAGGATAAAATGTCTTCACACAGACATATTATATTAGTGCAATTCTTCATGCTTCAACTTATTGTCACACCCACATCTGTTGGTCTACAGCTTCCGGAAAAAGAGCACTTTGAATTGGTTTTCAGCTTAGCTGCTTTATCAAGCAGAGGTTTGGTCTTGCAGGCAAGAGCAAAACATATCAATTAAACAAATATTCTAATCTCTGCTTCACAGCAACTGAAAATTGCATACAGTAGTAGATTCTACAATTACTTGCACCCAAGGATGGCATACTGATATTTTTTTTTATTTGTGGCAACCTCAAGTGTGTTGCAAATGCTGCCCTCAAACATGTTACAGCTAAACTGGCATGCAGGCAACAGCCAGTGTTATAACAGCACACAGGAGTAACTTACATTTTGAAATATTTGATAGAAGAGATTTCATTTGAAATGGGAAAGAACAATTAGATTAGTAGACTGAAAGAATGGATTGAATATATACTGCAACATTTAAAATTAATCTTTTCCTTTTTGAAGTACAGTAATTTTAAAATGTTTTACCACCAAATTCTGCCAAATTTATGTTGGGAATTACACATCTTTAAAATTAAATTCCATCACAAAATTAAACACATGTTATTAAAAAATAGTTCTTTTTACACTATTTACTCTCTGATGCATACAATTCTACATCAGTGAATAATAATAATTATTGATAATGGCTTGGAAGTCATTAACTCTGAAACATTTTTCTATTATAATATTGATATTATGTAATTCTTTAATAACAGTAATATTAAAAGCTAATGCCATACAGACAGGACATAATATGTGCTGTAATAATAATAATTACAGACGTCTGAATAATGATTGAACATTCTAACATTATTCGATACCTGCCTATCCTGTATCCAGCTTGTACTTCTCTGCCTGGTACTGGTTGTCTGACGGTCAACGTCATCTGTCGGCAGAAGATTGAATGACTGCGTCTTCTGAAGTCGCTGCTGTAAACCAACTACACACAATACCAATATCATACACAAAATGATCCGTAATGGAATCAAAATTAATTCATGAAAAATACTATTCAATTATATTCTGTCAGACTTAAAAATGTTTGATAAGACTTTGCGAAGTATAGCACTGTCCAACAACATGGAAAGACACACAATTTGTTTGATACAATTTTCTAAGACAAGCGTAGACCTGCACAACAAACATTTGCTGGTGAGTCTGACAAACATACTGTCCAGATATGGGTGTGATATAACATTATCAGGTCCTTATACAGGTATAATATGACATCATGCCCATCTATGGGTATTAATTATTCACCAGATAGTCTCATCTCTTTTATACCATCGAATATTTCAACTCTTTTACCACTTCAACATACAACTCATTTTGATCCTTTGTCACTGTATTGTGTATATTGTATATTTTTAATTTAACGGTTATTTATGTAATTTTTGCCTGTATGTATATTTTTATATCTATAGTCATGTTATTTAATCTATATGTATATTTTGTGTACTCTTTGCTCTGGAATACAAATTTCATGTACTATGTTGTATATGACAATAAATGGAATCTTGATATGACATCATGCCCTTATATGGTATAATATGACATCATCATGCCCTTATATGGGTACAATATGACATCATCTTGCCCTTATATGGGTGTCGTATGACATCATATACTTTATATCGGTGTGATATGACATCACCATGCCTTTATATAGGTGATATGACATCATCATATACTTTACATGGGTGTGATATGACATCATGCCCTTATATGGATGTAATATGACATCATCGTGCATTTACTGTAGATAGGTGTGATAAAACTTCATCATACCCATATAAGGACAATCAAACATTTGTAACATAAATCTTGGTGGTATGGACAAACCTTTAGAGAAGGTTATTAATATATCAAACATGGATATTTCATACATTTCATATTTTAGGATGATGCTCAATGTATTAAACATATTGCAAATTAAATATTAACATTTCAATTTCATTCAGTTATCTTGATATTTCTGATTCATGAAATTTCAAAATGGGGCTTGAGAATGGATATTCTTTCTTTGTACAACTGTTTGCAGGATTGAACCAAAGATCTTTAGAATTGGATGGTGTGCATGTAACCACAATGTTGCTTCTACATTCTAGTGAATCAGTCGAGATGTGCTTTCTCATAATTCATTGTTTTTTGTTTTTGCTTTCAATTAACAACTCCTTTTCAAAATACAAGAGAAGATTTAAATTGTTTGAAATTAGTTATGAATAAGACAGGCAAATTAATATACAGTATGCAAATTTTCAACAGGAAGATTTTAGTTTTAAACCATGTAAAAATTATCCAATTTGACAAAAATTCATGTGTGGGTATATATAGTATGATCATGTTGTGATGTCATCATACCTTATTTAGGCATGTCACCTGTTTTTTGTCAAATAAAATTGGATAATCTGCACAGGTCTTCAGTTAGCTTCTCAAAGAAAACAATTTTCACAACAAATAAACTCAACAGAAATAACAGAAACTGTACTCTACTAAATACAATTGACCCCCAGTGCTAAAAACATATTATTTACTGCAATTTTGACTGCAAATGCCAACAAAAATAATAAAAACACAACAATAATCCCATGGATAGCAAAGATGTTGAGAGAAATACAGGACTACTTTTTATGAGGACAAAAGTTTACTTTGGATAAGAGTTTGCAATTGGGTTTAAATATGCATAGTATTTGCCAAGAATACTAAAAACTACAAACAAATGGATGTTCTAATGTGTGACTATCTATTCAATTAAAATTAATGCATGGTTTAAACAATTTTTTCAAGAAAAATTTTAAACTCTATTCACACTATCAAATTTTCTTTGATAAAAAACTGAGGCTGTATGAACCAGTACACCTGGGTAACCCCCTTCTTGTCTCAAAAAATGAGTTCTTTTAAGTGAACACAAGCCAGACTGTGTAAACTGGGCCTACGGTTTACAGTCCTTATCCAAGAAGAATTGTTAACCACCAGAACCATTATAGGCTGTGCCGTTCAAAACAGTGCCCACATTATGGCTGAAGGTTGTGGCGTCCCTGCACTAACTGCTATGGCTAATGAACTCGCAAGTGTAGTGTACCCGATGGTGATGACATTCTATGCGACATTTAAACAACAATCATAAAAGTAATAATAACCATAATTAATGCAAAACTTTTGGAAACCTCTGTGTGAAGATGAAGAGAATGAAAAAAGATAGGCCTTAAATAGCTTCAGGAACAAACAGGTGTGCATGTTTTCTCTTATTCTTGGGCAAATCACATTTATCATGTGGATGTGATCATATTCACATTTCCTCCCCCCACCCTCCCAATGTGTTATTTCCTAGTGAATTACTTAAAAGAGAAGGCCCCTGAACACTAACTGGCATTTTGGTTCAGCTGGAAGGGCTACCCTCTATAAATAAAGTTGTAATACAAATAAAATAAAAGAGAATGATCAAAGAATGATTTTTGCTCTATATTATTTTTGCTGGATAAATAACTGAAATGAAATGTCTTGAATAAAAGATGCTTACAAGATATGAACCCATAACACTGTGTTTGGAGGATGGGCACTCCAACCACCGAGCTATGTCACTTTAAATTAATCTACTCTTTAATTTAATAGAAAAAAAAAACTAAATTGGGTTTTGTATACCTGCATTCTTTGAATAAGGACGGCCAATAACACGCGTTTGTTGGATGATGCCTGACACTGCACTTTTCGGATGTGGTGGCGAACGTTGAAAAGCGCTTGAAATAAATTCGAGCTCTGGATCCACTTCTGGATTTACATACGTTACGTTGGGCAAGAAAGGCATTGGGCAACTATCATTATCATTCAATATTTCCAAAGACTGTACAATACTCTCTAAAGCTCCTAAAATTGTTACAAATAATTTGAAAAATTGAAAAAAAAAAAGCTCTTAATACATTTGCAAGCAAAGTACTGACATACTATATGCACCAAGCACATGCAACATGAACTACATAGTTAGGGTATTTGAATGAACATAACACAAGCATGCAACATAGTGTGTTAGTTTCCACCTGTAAAATAAATATTGGGTATGTGCAAGCAGAAACAGCAAAGGTCAAAGGTCAAAGTGAGCTGTGAAAGCAATGGCAGTTTGCAAGATCTCGACACACAATGCTTCTGTGTATCTAAGATTGCATCTGCCATTCCATCTAATACAGCTTGTTACATTCATACCTGACCCTTCGCTCAAATCAATGGACCGTGTCCGCTGAAGTAACTGATGAACGGTGCCAGACAGGCGTCGTTTGCGCAACACTTCGGTTCTCCGGTTCCAGTCGGGATTATGTTCCAATGAAGCTACATGTTTCACACTTGGGAGATTCAGCAAGGGGGTGGACTCGTTCATTTCGTTAATAAGGGAAGTTTTTGCTGATGAATAAAGTCATATCAGATCTTGCTAATCACCCAATTTCATTTAATTAAACATAGCAAGAGCAAGTAGACCAGGAAACATTGTCAAAATATATTTTTAATAGCAGTCAAAAAGACAACAATGATGACATGATATCGGTGGTGATATAAATATGGCAATGATGAGGATGATGAAAATGAAGATGGTGATTATGATGATGAGGACGATGATGATGATGATGAAAATGAAGATGGTGATGATGGTGAAGATGATTATAACAATGATGATGATGAGGATGATGACGATGATGAAAATGAAGATGATGATGATGATGAAAATGATGATGATAAAGAGGATGATGATGAAGATGATGATGACAATGAGGTTGATCATGATGATGATGATTATGATGCTATGATGAAAAAGATGATGATGGTGATTAGGAAATGATGACAATGGTGATTATGGTGATACAAGATAATGATGATGATGTTGATGATGGTGATGGTGCTGTTGTAATGAAGACCTGTATCTTATACACATCTTCCTTATACAGGTATAATATGACATCATGCCCATCTATGGGTATTAATTATTCACCAGATAGTCTCATCTCTTTTATACCATCGAATATTTCAACTCTTTTACCACTTCAACATACAACTCATTTTGATCCTTTGTCACTGTATTGTGTATATTGTATATTTTCCTCAAAGCAAAAATTTATCTAGTAAGGTGTCATCCATAATTATCAACATTTTCAAGAGTACAAAACATATGCTTATGGGGAGAAGAGGGTTGAAAGTGTAGGCATAAGTATTCTTTTTAAAAAAAAGATAAAATAAAGATCTCAAAATAAGATGGATCATTTTTGGTGTATTCTTTTAGTGGGAAGTCACAGAAAAGAGTTTGTTTGTTGTTTGTTTGTTTTGTTTGTTTGTTTCTGACCGCCAGGGGTTTGAAAAAATAGTGTCAGCCACCGCCAGACTTTTTAGCAAATTTTAACACTTTACCGAAGCTCGTTGAAAGTGTGTATGTGATCAGATTGACATGTAGTGTCTGAATACTACAAGAACTACAAACATCTTAGCTTTACAATGGCACCAAACTCTTCATTCTAATCACAATCTGTGACCCGTAACAGTAAAATGAAAATTACTCACTTTCGGAGGTTTATGCAATTTCGCACAACAAAGCTGAGATAATTGCAATTTTGTGAAAGTACATCATACGCGCCCCCCTCCCAAGTCAGTCAATTAATTAATAAATGATGTAATCAATCATTAAAAAGCTTATTAAATGTTAGAGTGAACATCAAGTACAGTATATTAGTCTTTCCCTACCAAGCCTTTTGTAAAGTTGACTTAGGACTCGAGCTGGATGGATTTGGATTGGTGAGACTTCTGACACAGTATCAACCATGATATTTTGAGAAGCAAGAGCTTCTTGTATCTCTTTATTTTCAGCAAGCAAAACAACTGCGAAGGAATTAAAAATATTGACAACAGTTGTAACTATCAAACGTCTACATGGAGTAAATAAACGGGTTACAGTAAATAATAGGTTTAAGGCCCTTTCACATCTGTTCAGGTTCAAGCTCAAGATTTCAATTCATGTTTCAATTTTTTGATAACTGTTCAAATCTACTCAGGTTAGGTAGTAGCTAGGCCTAGCCTAGGCTAGCAAGAAAAGATGTAGATAGCTCTTGAGGGGCTATTCTAGTCACATACCTGTGAGGCCAAACCTGGCCCCAATTTCTGAAAATACTATGCTCCTCTGTAATCTTTAGAACTTTTATAATATAATATTTTATTTAACTGGATTTGCATTTGCAATTCTTCTATATTTAAAAATCATCATCCAGACCTAGGCCTGATCTTGCCTCTGCCGACACCACACACTCTCTCTCTCCTAACTTTGAAACTGTGGTTTTGATTAGTCAGAAGACGTTCAGTATAAATCAAGTGCAAAAAAAAAATCGGTTGTAGACCGATTTGATCTGGTAGCCGGTAACTATAGCCGGTTGTGGTATACCGGAACGAAGCAAATGGGAGCAGATCATGAATTTAGCATGGATAAAATAGAAGTCCATTTTGTTTTGCCTGAACATGAGCTGGGGCATGAACGGAAACCTGAACAGATGTGAAAGGGCCTTTATACATGATTACTAAACACAGTTTGGACTTCCTTTTAATGGAGCAGCACTCTTCTTGTCCTGAGCCAACTCCTATTGGCAGCCTTACATTCTATGTTCACACTTCGTATCTCTATCTCATGTATTTTTTTTTTCATATGTTTACACCACTCTTAAAAGATTAACCACAATAGTTCCACATCATTACCCACCTACCACCAACCATTCAAAAAACTCAAACCACTATAATAGTCCTATAGATGAAAAATATTTTCCCACACTTTCAAGATTTCTGACGAGTCGCTGATTTTTACACCAAGATAGTAACATTTTTAAATGTCTTGAAACAAATTATTAAAAAAAACTTACCCTGTACAACAAGATCTGGCTTAGGTTCGGTTGAGAAACGGCGATTCAGAGGGTCAATTTCCCCTGGCGCTAAGAACTTCTCTTTCAAAAGACAGCCAAGGATATAGAGAGACTGCCCCCACATGTGAGGTATCTTGCCTCCTGCTTCTCGTCCCTGACTGTGTGGATTTTTATACTCCAAGTCAACCTGAAAAAAACATATTCTGTTACATAAATTAATATTAATAATAATAATATAATAATGATTTATAGGGAACATATTGTACACCTTTATCGGCTTAACATTATTAGCCCTGGTCATAGGATCAAGCACATGGAACACATACTCAGCTCCCAGGGGAGAATTCCATAATGTTGCAGCTGTAATCAGTGCATTTTGTGTTTGAATTTGTACTCCTGGGTGGAGACAACCATAAAGGGAAAGTGCCTCTTTGGAATTGTATTGAGGTAACAAATTTGTTACTATTTGGATGAAAAAGGATGCATATAAGATGAAACATCCCATCCCCTATGGACCCCATTGGAAATAAGTTTCTTAAATTTATGAGTTTATCCATGGCATTCTTTTTTTCATGTAACTGTCTTTTTAATTAAATTTTATTGTATTGTTTTTAGGATGATGTAAATTGAAACTTTTTTATGCAAGATGCTGAATAAAACAGAACAAATCCTCACCCCATCGCAAGATTTGAACCCAGTACTCTGGGACTGGAAGGCAAGACCACCAAGCTACCTCACAAGTGATACAATAAAAGATATTCTACCAACCTTTTCATGCGGAACGTAATAAAGCTCTGGAACTCCTTTAATTCCGTTGTCAAGTCTGACTAGCGCATTATCAAGCTTCTCACCGTATCTGTCTACCAGTTCCTTGTTACCCCGAAAGATGCCATCTAACACCAAGTATGCCCAGAATAATGGCCACTCACATTCTATGTTCTCGAAGATCTTAAGCTCTGCAGGATCGTAGTACAGTCTATTGGGATCCTAAGTACAAACAATCATTAATAAAAAATTATGACTGGAAGAAATTTATGTTTGCACCACCAATGGTAGGGTGCATTTCACCAAAAGCATAAAACAAAATGTCCTAATGTGGCTTAAACTGAACAAGTTCTCATAATCTTTAAAGAACTGATGAGGGCAGTATGATAGAGGCAGTGGAGTATATTTGCTTTAATTCGCCTTTTAATTAATCAATCAGCAGGTTAATCCTAGAGCTTCTCATCAGAGCTAAAAAAAAAATATGGAAGGACAGAGCCAGGAACGTGGAGGATTTATAGAGAATGGGGAGACATAAGCAATTTTGTTCACATAAATATTTAAAATATTTTAATGTATGGATTCTGTACCTCTTTAGCCGTTTTGTGACCATCTCTGAGGAACCGCTTGCAGCCGTACTGTCCGTCTAATTTATCGATGATCTGTTCTCTCGTTACATTCACAAGTGTCTCATCATCGCAGGCAAATGCGGGGAAGCCTATCAGACTCAGGAGCCCAGCGTCAATCTCCTATAAGAGTAAATACATGAAAGTATCATACTTATGATTCAGATTGTTGGTGCTAAAAAAAAAAACAACAGTGTTAAACTTAGGTTATCTCTATTCAGCGTTTAATGCTTCGTGTATGCGCCTTTCAGAAGAGGCTTTTTGTTAACACTACTAAAACATGCTTAAATCATGGGGGAAATAACCTCCATGCTTAAATACAGTACACAGTGTCGTAAGTTGGCAAGGGTTCATAATAAAAATAAAAGTAAAAAAAATAAATAAATAAAATGTCATAAAATTGAAAAAAAAAAAAAAAATACCAAGACGCAATTTGAACTCACGACCTTTGGTTCTTTAGAACCCATCTTTAACCGACCGCGCAATCCATTTGACATGCCCTATTAGTGGTAATGGCAGTAACATACATTCCTTAATTAAACCCCTGTTGTTTTGTAGGTGTAGGGGCCACCCTAGGGGTGAAACTAAAAAAAAAGGG